GTGGAGACCGACCAGCACCGTTTGCCTCGGGTGCCGGATCTTGATCTTGACGCCGTCGAGGTCGTGCATGAGGAGCGCGATGGCGAGGTAGACGTTGAGCATAAACGACCAGGCTGCCTGCACACGCGCAAATCTGTGATTAGCAATGCGGTTCCCGCAGTGATGTTTCTCACGGGGGAGGAAGTTTGCAAACGCACAGTCATGTACAGCGCGACCGCTGGCGTCTCGTCACGCCCAAAGACGCTCGAGTACGCAAGGAAGGCGATGGCAGACTCCGCCATTAGAGCCACCGTGGCGTGCCACGCCAGCTGCACAAGAACCGACAGACTCAAGTTCATCTCGACTTTAGTTGCAGGCAACGGGCGTCGATTTTCTTTCGTCTCGTTCAAAAAGAGAAGGGATGGAAGGCGACGCCCGTTTCCCCGGAGGAAGCGCGCATCCGCCCTGTGCTGTTGGGCATCATCCGTCCGTCCCAGAATGCTCGGGGCCAAAGCAAAATGCCGCCCATGTATATACTGACTGCATGGACGCCCATTTTCAGGAGTCGTGGCAGTGGCGCACTCGCGCCGTGCGCTTCCCCCTCCCCATTGCGAGTTGCTTAGAGCTGTTGCCCGAGGACAGTTGCCATGGTGTTTCCGTCTGGACGCCTTGGGCGCGGCTGGTCCCGTGCTGCATGCGCGAACGCCCACTTTTAGATGGAAAGATGGAAGAGCCCGGAGCACAATACGGTCAGGAACAGATCCATTAGTCATGTTCATTCTGCCCCGAGAGAGTCAGGCTGGTCGTTCTTGTGATGACTTCCAGGTTTGTGAGATTCGTATGGAGTTGGGGAGTGTTTATGGGAGCGACAGTTTCATGTCGACTTGAGAGATCCATCGTATGTTGTGCACTGGTGAGGCCGCGGCCTCTGAATAGTGTCCTCGGATTAGCTTGTACGTAGTTACCCGTAGATTTTCGTCAACTCATATGGACGAAGAGCTTTTCTTGATCGTTTTTGAAACAGCGTTTACAGAGCACACTTGATGCAGCTTTACGTCCTGCCTGTCCATCGCCCTGCGTGTAAACTGGCTCCGTTTCGGGAGCCGGCCCCCAACGCATATTTAAGCACATTCTCTTGCAGAATCTCTCAAAGCTTTCCGAAACATAAAAATGGACACGCAAGTCAAGAAGTTGCCAAGGTACGCTACTGGTATGACGGGGAGCAACCCAGGGCAGAGCGAGTCAACTCCCGAGCCTGGGCAAGCTCGGTATAATATCGGCCGTGCTGCCGTGCTGCATGCAAAGGCGCGACATGAAACCTGGCGGCCGGTAGGATCGCATCCCAATTACCGCTCGGGACACGATTGTTCATGCGCCGACGCAGGCCATGGGCTTATTGGTGCGACGAGGATATGCAGCCGCGCAGGCGGCTGGAGCCTCGAGGGCGGGACTCTGTAGGCACATACCGTGGTAACATAACCACCACCGTAGACATCCGGGACCCCGGTCCTGGCACGACATGACGGAGTGCGGCTCCATGCATCCATGCATCCATCCTCCGAGATGACGGGCGGCGGCAGAAGAGTGCTTCGAACACGGCGTCGCCCGCCCTCCATCCCGAAGCGGACCGGCGGCGGTGGCGGCGGCGGCAGAGAATCTGTTTGCCCGGTACGGAGACGTGGTGCTGGAAACGAGGCGTCGAGGCACCGCCGCTCACAGCTTTCACCTCTGACCTTACCAGTTGGTTCCTATTTTTAGCCCTTCGGGGCGCGGCGGCGGCGCTGAAGCCCAACACAAACACGAGGGAGGGAAGGCTGCTGTGCAGCCCCAGTGGGCGGGTGGTGAGCATCAGCAGAAGAGGGAAGGGGGGGGGGATGATGCATGCACGGATTCTGGAAGCAGTGTTCAGCTCGGAGGGGCACAGCCTGCGGGGCTGATGATGGGCGCAGTGTCGGGTGTTGCGAGATGTGTGGAGAGGCTGCGGGCGTTTGAAGCTTGCTTGCTGCTGCTGCTGCTGCTGCTGCACCTCCAGCAGGATCCTGCATTTTATTGATGCCCCATGCCAGTCGTGCGAATGTTCGACAGAGACGCACCGGCGCGGTACTGTATTGCTCGCGCGTTAAGCGTCAAGCATACTCGTATGGCGTACAATACGGCGTGCTACGTATTACATACAATAGTCACGGACTGGCCCGCGCTTGATACGGGCCGCACGAGGGAGGCAGGTCAAGGTATTGATGGGTGAGAGGTTGTTCTCCGATATGGAAGTTGGAGTTAGCGATACGAGCCCTCGGGCGTTCCCCCGCACACGCCCTGCATCACGCGCCGCCGTCGCCGTGTTCATGGCCAGCCGTGGCGGCGGGCAAGGCATTGCTCTTCACGTACAGTACGTATTGTCGTTGCCGCAGACACGCACCACGCGCGGGCCGCAACGAAAGAACGGCAACAGATTGGGGCGGGTCGGCGGCAGCGACCACACGCGAGGAGGCAACACGAACGCCTGGCACCATCTACAGGTACCTACGTACTTCGTAGTATGTACTGCATGGACATCGGCGCCGAGGCGATCGTCAGCGGCCTTGGATCGCGGGACGAGATTCCTCTTGCAGGGGTGGCAGCCGAGAACGCAATTTAACCATGGCGCCGGCTGGAGTGACGGTAGGTTTGGGACGGGGTCGCATTGGCAATTTCGACGACGGCAGCGAACGGCAGCGAACCGGGCGCGACCCTCACCATGGGCCGATTTTGCTTTCTTTGGCCGCACCGACGTGGCTGGTGTCCGAGGGCTTGAGCATGTACGAGCACAGTACAGATGTCCAAGCGATCGGGTGTCGAGCCCGGCCGGCTCGTCGTTATCGACAAAGACGCACGATGTTGAGACAATGTTTTGGAGATGGGCCCAGGAGGATGGGGAGGGGGGCTGGCGGTTGGCATTCATTCCTCCGTCACCTCACAAGGACCTACGGCGACCCTGGATTATTCTTCCTCTGCAGCTGTACCAGCTGCAGCATGGCGCGGCGGGCGGGGGCGCACCACAGTCAGCAAGCCGGCAAGCCTTCCCTGTCTCTGGGCGTCGCATGAATGCGCGCCGTTGGCTTCAGGTCAGCTCGCCAGTGGCTGTCGACGTTCGAGTGGCTGGGAGACGCCCCCCGTTGTCTTGAACCCAAGTCTAGGTCGCGTTGGCTGCTGCTGCACCGTCCCGATTGGGCTCAGTCAGGGACAGCCAGCTAGCGGAGAGCGGGCGGCCTTTTCCATCCACATGCGCACCCTGCCCTGCCTGGATGCCCTGGTTGCTTGCTTGCTTGCTTGCGTTGCTCGACAATTGACAGGCGTTTGAGTTTTTTTTTCGTTGCCCTTGTCTGAGCCATGGGGCCGGATCAGAGACCGTCAAGCACTGTGGCGGTCGGTCAAGCAAAAGCGCTCGCTGTACGACTCATACACGGCACTAACAAGTCTCGCCGAGGCTCTGCTGGCCCCAGATGCGACACGACGACGCCCGCCGTCGTCCACCACGCCGACTGAGATCGGGATCCTCACTAACCGTCCGATCGCTGGGTGGGCTCGCTGTCCCCCCTCCCCACAGATGGAGACTGAGGAGGAGCCCAAGAGCCTTCACGTCAGCCCGCGTGGACGGACCGCCGGTGCTAACGCGAAATGCTGGCGCCATCGCACGGTTGCGAAAAAGTTGGGGCGGCATGATCGTGGCCGGGTGGCTGTGAGAGAGAGTGTCGACGTCAGTCTGGCTTGTGCTTACAGTACGTTCGTACTCGGCGCAGTACTGTAGAGTGATACGTGGTGTTGCTGTTGTTGTCAAGTTACGGCTGTAGCCAACAACAACTGCACCAGCAAGAGCAACGAGGCAATACTGCAGAGGCAAGGCGAACTCTGAGCAAGCAACAGCACAGAAGCCTCAACGCAGCACACCACCACGCCGCTGTCCATCAGCAAACCCGTCCAAGCAACAGATGGCCCAAGTCCCTGTCCCCACGTCTCTCCATCAGTGCCCGCCATCCCTCCACCTGTCTCTTATACACATCTAGATGTGTATAAGAGACAGGCCCTGGCCAGGGCAGCGTCGCCAAGCCCAGCGCCTCCACTTCAGCCACTCAGCGTTCCTGTTCCCGCTTCCCAGGGGCTGGGGGGCCGCCTCGCTGGCCGCAGACGCCTGCCCTGGCCTGCTGCCCTGCCATCCATCCTGCCCTGGCTCCATCCCTCCACCCCCCAGTCCCAGTCTGCCAGTTGGGTTGGGCCGCCGGGTCACTGCGCGGCCAGCAGACGACGACGACGCCAGCGCGGCGCGGGCCCCGGGCCCCCTCCAGCAGCTGCCCTGGCCTGCCCTGGCCGCTGAGCCCGCGCCCTGGCCTGGCCCGGCCCTTGGTCCCTAGGGCCGTTAATATCTCGGCCACCCCCCCAAAAACAGGCTTTCGCTCTCATGCAAGACACCACACCTCACCCTCCTCGCTCCCGCTACTTCCCACGCGAGACCATCGACCGCCTCCGCCCGCTCGTCGCCCTCGCTCGCCCGCCTGCCCGAACATCCTCCTTCCCTCGTCCGTTCCGCACCGACGCTCCAGCATCGCGACTCCTCGGCCGCGCGCACACAGGGAGCATCACCGGCGTCGAAGCAACAGCCCACGAGACGCATTGGCTGCCCCCCCGACGACCCGTCGCAGTCGGTGAGCCTGAACCGAGGCGAGGCCCCACGACGGTCTGCGCGCGCACGCAACGCCGCCCCCTGAGCCACCATCGTCGGATCAGAGAGCCGTACCGACCAAGCTCGCCGCCATACCGTCAGCAGAGACGAAAAGGAGGGCGAGGAGGCACACGGACCGCTCATCATCGACAATTGCCGCGAAACGTCCCGGTCGCCTTTCGTCACAACACGTGCTGTGCTGCGCTGTTGATTGACAGCGCCAGCCTCGCGGGCCAGCGCCAACAACCATCCTCCTGAGCGATTGCGCCCACCGCCCTTGGACGCGACCGTCTTCACAGTAACCGCGCGGTCGGCATCAGCAGCCACAATGGGGTCCACGGATTTTGGCAAATTCGAGGTAGGTCTTGTTGTGGCACAGTGCAGACCATGCACGTAGAGAGCGCCGCTAACAGTCTCGTCTACTAGTCCTTTTGCAGAGACTCGACTCTACCGGTTTGCAATGTGAGTTTATGCGACACTCTGGGAGAGCAACCGGTTTCCGCCAGCTCTCGAATGGCTACGAGGAATTGAGCTAACAACATTCGCAGCTTCTATCCACGCCGAACCACGACCAGCAAGGACCATGGGGTGGCTGCCAGTTGAAGGGCATCCCGCTCAGCGGTGACCGCCACTTGGGGAACCTGGGCTCGATCATCGTCTGCGGCATGGCCATCGCTGCCTCAGTCTTTCTGTTGCTAAAGTCGGAGAAGAAGCGCGCTGCGGTTGGTCGAAGGTAAGCCGGTCCTGCGACTGCGCTGTAGCCGCACAGACGACCGTGTGTTTGGCTTGACTAACAACTTCGCACAGGGAAATGCAACTCTTCCTCGTCGGTTACATCATCATAAGCATATGCGAAATCTTCTCTGTTGGTGTCTTTCCCATCAGCAAGACTGTTCGAATTGTGAGTGCCTCCCAGATGGACCGTCGGCTACTGATTCAGTTCGCGCTGACCAGTTCATGCACCAGGCCTTTTCCGCCATTCATATTGGCATGATCATTGCGACGACTTGGATCCTGATGCTCAATGCCATCGTTGGCTATCAATTGATTGATGATGGCACTCTTCTATCCATGGGCCTCATCGGCGGCTCCGCACTGGCCCTGCTTATCGGTACGGGTTACATTGCTCTCGACACGGGCTTTTCGTGGACCGGATTCTGGGACAGCAGCTACCAGCTCCCCAACCGGAATATAGCTCTCTACGTCTTGTATCAGCTGATCCCCCTCATCTTCCTGGTCGCCTTCTTCGTCCTCGAAACCATCCTGGTCCTCCGCGTGCTTGGCGAGGTACGCCCGATGATCTACCTCGGCGCCGCGGCCCTCCTGTTCGCCCTCGGACAGATCTTCAACTACGTCGTCAGCAAGTACATTTGCGAGGGAACCAGCGGCAAGATCGACGGCGCCTTGTTTGAGACGCTGTTCACGCTCCTGTCGGTCCTGGCGGTGTGGCTTTTCTGGTCCAGCATCACCGAGGACGACTGGCCCATGCAGGGCGGCGGCACATACCCATAATTCACGGGCCGCGCTCCGCTTGTTTTGTTGATCTTTTTCACGGCGTTTCAAGGGTGGAAGCATTTGTCGAATTGCTTTATTGTTTTGCCTCAGTGATGGCCCACGACTATCGTCTACGGAGCCCGACGACGGATATATATGTTTTTATGGAGACGAAAACGATCATACGGAGAGTCTACCGAAAGGCGGAACCGCCCGCCTCGCACTTTACTACCAGTCATTGTCCCTGCGGCGAGATGTTCTTGGGTAAATGGAGGGGAAGCGCTCGCAGCTGCCACGGCCTTGATCTTGTCGGAGACGAGCGGCCGGTGGCATGGCAGGCTTGATGAATATTCGCGATGGAGAGACGTCAGGAGATGTCGAGACGTGCACAAACTTATGAATTCTTGCTTCTACGGGCCATAACCCACTGGGCCTGTTGTACGGTAGTCATTTAGATACGACTTCGTAGTATACCCCGCGATCTAGCAAATAATGCATATTGAAGTCAAACAAAGGCGGCCGGGTGAAGACAAGAGCTATGTCATAGTGCTGCGTCTGGAATGTGTAGAGACTCTGTCTCTGGTGAGCCGCGTTGGTGTCGCGCATGCTGATCGTGCGGCGCCGGCCCGCCAATTGGTCTGGGGCGGGTGACGGTTGGTGGGGAAAGCTCACAAGGCTGTGAGTGACGAGCTGCAGCCTCGCAGCTATTCTTTCGTCCTCCAACAACACTCGACCGCCCGCAACCACGGACTCCCACCGCGACCGGTGCCGGAGCGCAGCATTTCCCCTACACGCCAGGTCTCACCAGCAGCGCAGGGCCCCCTTCGACAGGCCATCGTCGCCATGGCAGACTCCGATGGCGAGTTCGTCGCTGACGGCATGTCGGACGACGACCTCATGGAGCACAACGTCAGCGACGATGACATCGAGACAACGGGCCGCCCCTCGCGAGGGGGAGGAGGCGGAGGAGGTGGAGGCAAGTCTTCCCGATCGCGGCGGAAAGGCGACCGAGGCTCCGCGCGGGCTTGGGAGAAGTCGAAGCGCTCGTGGGAGACGAATCTGCCCGAGGAGGACCAAAACGGCGTGCTCAACCTGACGGCCCTCGAGGCCGAGAAGCGCAAGCGCCTGCTGCGCGACACGACGCCCCTGCAGCGGGGCATCATACGGCACATGATTCTCGTGCTGGACATGTCCTTTGCCATGGCGGAGAAGGACCTCCTACCGACGCGCTATCGGCTGACGCTGAGCTACGCCGCGGCGTTCGTCAAGGAGTTCTTTGAGCAGAACCCCATCTCGCAGCTCGGCATCGTGGGCATGCGAGACGGCGTGGCGGTTAGGATAAGCGACCTCGGTGGCAACCCGGCGGAGCATCTCGAGAAGCTCAAGGAGATTGAGGGGCAGGATCCCCAGGGGAACCCGAGCTTGCAGAATGCGCTGGAGATGTGCCGCGGCGCCTTGTTGTACGTGCAACCCGTCTGATAGCTGTACGTCTTGGACTCGATATGCTGACCTCGTATGGCACACAGTCACGCGCCGTCACACGGCACGAGAGAGGTGCTCATCATCTACGGCGCCCTGCTATCGAGTGACCCGGGCGACATCCACGAGACGATCAACAACCTCATCACCGACCGAATACGCGTGTCCATCGTGGGTCTGTCGGCGCAAGTGGCCATCTGCGCCGACCTGTGCTCACGGACCAATGCGGGCGATGACTCCCAGTACAACATTGCCATGGACGAGGTACACTTCAGGGACCTGTTCCTCGCGGCCACGACACCGCCGGTCACGCGGACGCAGGAGCAGAGCACCGCCAGTCTGCTCATGATGGGGTTCCCGTCGCGGACGCTCGCCCCGGGGGGCAGCACGACCTACTGCGCGTGCCACAACAAGCCTTGCCGGGAAGGATACGACTGCACCAGGTGCTCCACGAGGGTTTGCAGATTACCGGCGGAGTGCCCTGCCTGCGGGCTGACGCTCATCCTGTCCACCCATCTCGCACGCTCGTACCACCACCTCTTCCCGCTGCGCAACTGGGTAGAGGTGTCCTGGGCGGACGCGAGCAGATCAACCGTGTGTTTCTCGTGCCAATGCCCGTTTCCCGACGCGGTCCGGGGGCAGATCACCCACGTGCAGGCGAGCAAGAACAAGGAGGAGAACGCCAAGACAGCGGCCAAGGGCGTCAGCGAGAGCGGCCGCTACGCGTGCGAAGTGTGCGGGAACCACTTTTGCATCGACTGCGACGTCTTTGCGCACGAGGTCATCCACAACTGTCCCGGGTGTCAGAGCAACGTGCAGCAGAATCACGAGCACGAGTCGGCCGCCGGGGTGAACGGGCACACCAACGGCGCGATGGAGATAGATTCATGAGACGAGCACAGAGCCCCTTCGCGGCTACTGAACCGGCATTTTCTTTTGGGGCTTGTATTTTTAATGCATGGGGAAGCGGGCAGTCTGTTAGTCAATTAGGGCGTGAAGCACAACGGCGAAATACACGCCGAGGAGGCGGGTGGGAGAACGCGGTCACGGCCACAACACAGAAAGGGTGCGCTGACATTGTTGCGCTGGAAAACGAAATCTCTACACGGCGTATATGGGGGAAGTCGTTACCAAAAAAAAACCTCATGGGCTGTTTTGTGCAACGAGGTACCGTTGCGGGGAGCCGGGAGCACGCACGCACGCACACACTTATTCAGGCGAGCGGTCATCATCATCAACATGACAAAGATGTTATGAAAAAAAAGCCATCTCAGGTTTTCAGAGTAGGGAAAAAATATTGGTTAGACGATAAAGCATGTTTCCGTCGTGGGCTCGTTCATCAAAGGCTATATGAATGGCAGCCGTGTAAAGGTTATGGACAAAGGAGACCGAGATATTCCCTATCCTGGCTTTTCCCCACCGAGTCTCCGCGGTACATCATCCAGCGACTTCCCGCTGATGTGTGCCTCTCTCGCTCTCTCCCATGTGCTCACCTCCCTCTCCTGGCCTTGGGGGCTGTGTCATGCCTTGTCTTGCCATGATGTTCATGCCCCGCGCCTCCCGTCGCTCAGCTACAATTATACATGGGTCCTGCCACGCGCATACTTGCTCCTGAGCCCGTGCTGCTGCTGCTGCTGCTGCTGCTGCCGCTGCCTCAGCTTGTTCTTCTTCTGGTTGTTTGTGTGTATGTGGTGTTGTTGTTGGGTTGAATAGGGGGGGAGAGAGGGAAGTTTACAGGTTTCCTCTCTCGGCCTGCTCGCGCTCAATGGCCTCAAAGAGGCTCTTGAAGTTACCCGCGCCAAAGCCCTCAAACTCGTTGCGCTGGATAATCTCGATGAAGACGGTGGGGCGGTCCATGAGGGGCTTGGTGAAGAGCTGGAGGAGGTAGCCGCCCTCGTCGTAGTCGATGAGGATGTTGAGGCGCTGGATGGTGTCGAGGTCCTCCTTGAGCTCCCAGTTGCGCTTCTCCGTCTTGAGGCGCTGGCGCATGGTGTCGTAGTAGGTGGTGGGCACGTTGATGAACTCGACCCCCCGGGCGCGCAGGGCCGTCACGGCGTCGATGATGTTGGGCGTCAGGAGGGCAATGTGCTGGACGCCCGGGCCCGAGTTGAAGATGACGTACTCCTCGATCTGCGACTTCTTCTTGCCGGCGGCGGGCTCGTTGATGGGCATCTTGACGAGGTTGTTGGGCGAGGCCATGACGATGGAGCTCAGGGCCGAGAACTCGGTGCAGATCTGCGAGTCGTCGACGGACCAGAAGCGGTGGAAGGACAGGGCCTGCTCGTAGAAGGCGCAGGCCGAGTCCATCTCGTTCCAGTCCTGGTTGCCGACGCAGTGGTCGATGCGCGCGAGGCGCACGTCGGGCTGCGCGACGCTGCCCGTCGGCTTCTTGGCCTCGCGGAACCCCGGGAGGAAAGGGCCCGTGTAGTCGCCGCGGCTGATGAGCGTGTGCGTCGTGTCGCCGTACGTGTTGATGACGGCGGTGACGACGGACCCGTGCTCCGAGTCGGTCAGCGTCTGGGGGTCCTGGATGGCGAGCGCGCCCTCCTTGACGGCCTTGAAGTACACGCCCTCGACGTTGTCCACCTCGAAGGCCACGTCCTTGACCGCGTCGCCGTGCCGCTCCAGGTGCGCGTGCATCGCCACGAGGAGCTTCTTCTCGGCCGGCGTGATGGCCTCGTCGGCGGGCAGGTGCTCGGCCGACCGCAGCGGCGACGTGAAAACGAAGCGCACGTCGTTGTTGGCCACGACGTACGACGCAAAGTACCGGCTGCCCGTCTCGAGCCCGCGGTACGCCACCGCCTTGAAGCCGAAGAGCTGCGTGTAGTAGGCCGCCGCCTGCTTGGCGTTGCCGACCCACCATGTTACGTGGTCGTAGCCCGTGAAGTTGCCCTGGGGTGTCTGGATGGCGTAGTCGCCGTCGGCCTGCTGCTGCTGCTGGGGGACGGCGGCATCGACGGCCCGCTGCTCCGGGGAGACTGCCGAAGGAGCCATGGCGGGCGGGAAGGTTGTGATTGTGATGGGGAAGGGATCAGAGGGTGTGTATGTGTGTCGTGTTATGCCGAGGCCGAGGAGAAGACGTCGAGCTGGCTGGCTGGCGGGGGTGGCGATGGTGTTTTACAGCTTCCCGTCTATGTGTTCAGCAAGGCCTCGTTTTTGTCTTATATATATGGATGCCCTTTGGTTCAAGGGATGGATGGACGGATGATCGATGATGATGATGATGAGGACAAGTCTCGACACGAGCACGCGAGGAGGATGACTGGATTTCTAATTTCCCCCCCTCCATACGCACCTCGGGGGCATGTTGCCTTATGAACCAGCTCGAACTTGGGACACCACCTGCCTTGTCCGTTCCGGCTCACCCGCCGGGCCAGGGCCAGGCCAGGCCAACGTGGGATACGGGCGAGGCAAGGCGAGGCGAGGCGAGGCGAGGGCACAAGGCCGTGCGACCAACCCCCCCGGAAATGCCCCGCGCCCATGGCATCCCACGGCCCGAGAGACAAACGGAGACAACAGCTCGCACACGTCAGGCTCAAGGGGCAAGGGCATGGGCATGGGCAAGGGCGGCGGCGGGCGGAGGATGGTGGCAAGGCTTAGACCGTGTCTCATCTCGGGGGCCCGGCGGGGACGCCAACATGGCATAGCGTTGACTTTGCCAACGCCGTCATGCTGAGTGGCCAGAGCCAGCAGCCGCCCGCTCGTCATCCGTCAGAAAAACAGACTGATAGAGCCGTCGAGGTGCGAGCGCGGGTGGAATGGGGAAAGCCGCGCCGTTGCAGTGCGTAACCCGCCTCGCCAGTGCCGTCCGTGTGCGCCGAAGTCAGAAGTCAAAGAGGGGCCGCGACGGGAGAGCCGCCGTGCGGAATGCTGCCGTCTCGGCGGCGCCAGCCGAGAACAGCCGCGGGTGGCCGGGGGCCCCAATGGCCCCGCGCCGCCGCCCTCCCTGGCGGCACACCTGGGCGGCTTTGCTGTGCGCCGCCAGCCCCGGCCAGACATGCAGCGCAGCGGCAGCGCAGCAAAGTCAGGTAGTCGGCCATGTCAGCGCTTGGGCGAGTTGACTCGGGCTCGCTGTGCCGATGACGCTGGTTTGACTTGACTGCTTTGTTTGTCGGTCGGTGCGTTGTGCCGCGCTCTGCTGTGCTTTGCTGTGCTGTGCTGTGCTGTGCTCTGCTGCGCCGTGTGTTTGCGCGCGGGAATCGCATCCATCACTCGCTCCCTCCATCCGTCCATCCATCAGTCAATCCATCCCACTGCGGCGCATCGCTCGGCTCGTGCTGAATCTGCTGCGGTGTTTCGTGTTCCGTCGTTGCTCGCTCGGTACAAGTGACCCCCCCATAAGCCGCCCGTCGTCGCCGTCGCCGTCGCCGTCATCGCCACCTGCCACCGCATCGCCCGCGCCGCCCGCTGACCGCTGCCACCCTGCTGTTAGTTATCAAGTCGTCCGCGTCCGCCCACCGACACCCCTGACATCTTCGTATCGAGCTGCCTGCTGCACGTTGCTCCCTGCCGTCTGACAGACAGCTGTCTCGACGCCTGACCGACCAGACATCCATCCGCCGTCCACAGTCCACACCTCCATCAGCCTGCTGCTGCTGCTGCCAGTGGTGCCAGACCGACGCGCGCAGAAGCTCAGCCAGCCAGCCCGCCATGGACTTTTCCAGATTGACCACGCGGGACATCAACGTCCTCGAAAAGATTAAGGACCCCGAGGCGAACCCCGCCGCCGGCGTCGTCACGGACCCCTCCTTGCCCCGCGATCCGCACCTCACCGACTCGACCGTCTATGACCGCCTCGTCCAGAGGGAGCGCGCCATCATCCAGACCATTCAGCAAGTCGAAAAGGAGCTGAACGAGTCTCACGCCGAAGACGCCGATGATACGGCCATCAGTGGATACAAGAAATGCATTTCCGAGCTAGATGGCCTGATAGCCGACCACCCCGACTATGCCAGCGCGAGAAACAACCGCGCCCAGGCAATCCGCCGTCTCTACGGCGATGCCATGCTCCTCGAGGTCACCACGGGCATGCCCATGCCCTTGATCCACGAGCCGGAGCCCACGGAGCGGAGACAAGCAGCCCTGACTGCTCTCCAAGATATGGACCGCTCCATCGCCCTGCTCTCCCCCGCCACCCTGCAGACGCCTCTCTCGCCGCAGGCGGCGAGGACCCTGTCCATGGCGCACACCCAGCGCGCCGCAGTGTACCTGCGGACGTCCAAGCTGCTGTCCGACCGGCTGCTGGACGTCGATCAAAGCCGTCCGGAATCCGGCTGGGCCAAGCTGAACTTTGAGGAGGCTGCTTCCAGGGACTTGGCGTACGGCGGCCGGTACGGCAACCAGATCGCCAAGAGCCTGGCTGTGAGCGTCAACCCCACGGCGAAGCTCTGCGGGCAGATTGTTCGCGAGGCCATGAAGAAGGAGTATGGGCCGTCGTTTGAGTATTGAGTGACGACGACGGCGGTGACGTCGCAGGCACGACGGGAGGAGTGATATTCATGACGCATGTACGACCACAGGCACGACCAGGCTGCCTACATTCGCATTTCCTGCTGTTAGATAGACTATACAGCGGCGCAGGCGTCCCCCGGGCTGAAAATTGATTAATTCGACTTTTTCGGAAGCCCTATGCGTCTTCAAGACCCATCTGATGTTAGCGATACCTGTTTGCAGTCGCGACCCAGTATGGCTTTGCCTACCGAAGCCCGGCCTCTATCGTCTGGTCGGTCGTCCGGCCCTTGCTCTTCTCCTCGCGATTGATGCGCGTCACGGCGGCGGACATGCCAATGACGACGGCGAAAATGGGGTCCGCGACCCTTGATATGATGTACGTCGGTGCAGGCATCTTGGCGAGACAGTGAGCTTCGTCGCGCGCGTGCGGATCGACAATTGGCGGGTTCGCGTTGCGTCGTCGGCTGGTGACTGACTGACTGGAGCTCGGCTTCGTCAAAGGAGCGGCGGCGGCAGCTCATGAAATGCGGGTCCTTCTTCGACGTTGTGCTTGGTCAGTTAGAAGTGGAGTGCACGGACCAGTTGCCCAAGGCCAGCCCGCACAGAAAAGCGCCGTTGGGAGCGGATGAGAGGTCATGTGACTTTTCACCTGCCACTCGCTTGCCCCAATTTGCAAGCCCACAAACCCCAAATTTTGCACCAAATTTCCGGATCACGGTTCAACGACGCCGAATCTCCCTCCAACTAACCACATACCCGACCACCCACAGGCAGGACAAGATGAAGTTCCTCAAGGTCGGCCGAGTCGCCATCATCACCCGCGGCCGATATGCCGGCAAGAAGGTACGACTTGTTCTTTTTCCTTCTCCGCGCGAACAATCGACAAGAGACGCCCTGCCCGCCCGCTCGCCGCCGCCCCTGGTCGCCGCTTTGAAGGATCCGTGGGATGACCACGACACGACGCTCGATCGAGGACGTGGGAAGACACGGATCACTGGGGCGGCTGCGAGTTTGGCTTGGGCAGTTTGGCACGGCGTCCATGTCGGAATTGCTCGTGGCGAGCGAGAATCCTCAAACGAAAGAAATTTGGAGCTCGGAATACTGACGGAGCACTTTACAGGTTGTGATCATCCAGCCTGTCGACAATGGCAACAAGCCTCACCCGTTCGGCCACGCCGTCGTCGCCGGCATCGAGCGCTACCCCTCCAAGATCACCCGCCGCATGTCCAAGACGCGCCAGGAGAAGCGCTCCAAGATCAAGCCCTTCATCAAGGTCATCAACTACAACCACCTGATGCCCACCCGGTACACGCTCGAGCTCGAGGGCCTCAAGGGCACCATCTCTGGCGAGACCTTCAAGGAGGTCAGCCAGCGGGAGGACGCGAAGAAGACGGTCAAGAAGGTGCTGGAGGAGCGCTACACGAGCGGCAAGAACCGTTGGTTCTTCACCCCCCTGAGTACGTCCCTTTCTGCCTCTTTTCTCTCCCCCCCTCCTCTCTCCCGGGAGGCCAAGGCAAAATGCCCTGCTGCATTGCGCTTGTCCCCCCACCGTCGCACACCCCGACACGACAGTCTTGCTAACAGCCGGCTACAGAATTTTAAAGGATCGTTTTCTCCATCACGGTTAGGGAGTTGGCGGGATGTAAAGAGCATCGAATGGCACTTGAGGAACCCCGGTTTATGGGCTCAATATGAAGTCATCAAAAGAATCCTTCACATATACCTTCACACGCCTTGATGTGATCAATCTTCCGCCGGGGTGATTGTGACAACTGATGACGAATGGGCCGACATTTACCTTGGCACAGTGCAAGCCGAATCACTGTATTTCGTCAAGGGATATAGGCTGGATCCATCTATGGCAAATAGACTTTGAGCATGAGCAACGGTCAACTGAGGCAGCCCTGTCCAGAGTGACAATGTGTAGTGGCCAAATCCGCGGCGGGTCCTCACCGTATGGGGACTATAGCGCTTGATGCTATCACATGGATCACGAGAGATTGTCAAGGCACACCGTCCCACAGACTCAAAACGCATGATTTCTGAAACTTTTTCTTGACAACCCGGGTAGCGAGCCTCGCTCGCCACAGGATCCCTATGTTTCTATGAATTGATTTAAACGCCGTCTAAAGTACATCAGATTAGACCGTTCGTGATGCCGTTTCGTTCCACCTCGCCGTCGCGCACTGCGCAAAGCTCTATAAAAGAATACAACCCAACTACACTCTCCGGCTGCCAAGCATAGTCACTCTCCAATTAGAAACCTCTTGGCCATGCTGTGGGATTCATGGGCCAGCGGAGCACAGACGCGGTGCCAAGGCACAGAGTAAAGAAAAAATACGACAAATTTCTTTGGTAGATTGCTCGGCAACCTCGGTGAGGCTGCGCGAGCTGCTCTTTGCCCTGCTTGCGTTTCAGCAATGGGCACGGTGCGTCGGGACCGATGTCCGCTTTATTGGGCACCCGTCTTGAAGCGGTTCGTGACCTCGTTGGTCAACTTGGTGGGGTCGTAGGCCGGAGCGTACGTGGGAGCGAGAGCGCCGAATAGTGTGAAGAGGACGAAGACGGACAGGACAATGACGGCGAGCTTGCGCAGCACAGGCTTACGGGCACCGAACTCGGCCCACTGGCGGCCGGCCTCACCCATGTAGCCCTTGAGCTGGTCGTAGCCGAGCTTGTAGTAAACCATGCCGCCCAGGGCGATGGAGTAGCCAAAGAACTGCAGGGGAGTAACCTGAGTGCCCCAGATCATCATGGAGGCAACGACCAGCATGATGTCCTTGAGGACACCGCAAAGGGTGAGAACGACGGCAGAGGTCTTGCCAATCTGTAGAAACCGTTAGCACGCGGCCATGAGACATATAGAGAGCCAGGAATATCGTACCAGGAACACCACCGAGACGTTGAGCATGAAAGCGCAGAGACCATTCAGGAAGAAGGTGAAGAGACCGACGTGGTAAACCTCGGCCATGGTAACCTTGGGGAACTCCCAGATGAGGGCGACAACTCCGTTCATGACGGCGCAAATGGGAGCGAAGTAGTAGAGCGAGACGAGAGGGTCCATCTTGAAGTCGGCGGAGCTCAGGAGGCGCTGAACCATGGTGAGACGCAGGGCCTCAAAGATGATGCCGCCAATCTGGAACAGAACACCAATGGTGACGAAGTGAATCTCGCCGAAGGACGCGATGATGACACCAACGACAATGGCGGAGACGTTGAGGAACTGCTTCAGGTTGGGTTGGGAGACGCCCAGAGTCCAGCCGGAGATGAGGACGGCGACAGGAGTGGTGGCCTTGAGCATCTGGATGAAGGCGACGGAGAGATAGAGGTATGTCAGGTTTCCGCAGATCAGACTCAAGCTGAAGAAGATGCCGATGGGGACAACGGCGCGCAGGTAGACGCGGCCCGTCATCTTGACCGTCTTGCGGCCATCAAGCATGGTCGTCCATCGCGCCATGGCCTGTGTAACGACGGTCGCAAAGGTGAGATGGTAGGTCGTGAGGATGACGGGGTAGCCTGGAGGAGGCGTTAGCAAGGCACACATCAGACTGCGAGCGCGAGGGTGCACATACGGAAGTTGAGGGTGTCCAGAAGCCATTTGTTGAACAGAATGACGGAGGAACTGAAGCCGATCCAGGTGCTGCGCGATTGTCAGTAACCACGTCGCCTGCTTCTTGCTGAATCGCATCCCATCGCAGCGGCACTCACACGACGTAGAAAACCGGGTGCAGCGCCGCCTTCGCGGGCTGGGGCTTCTCGGCCTGGGGGTTCACGGTCGGGAGGACCTGAGCCGCCTCCGGGCGAACGACGTCGCCGGAGACGCGTGTCTTCTCGTCGGCAGACATGGTGCTGGCTTCACACGCGAGTCGATCGGGGAAGCGCCGGCAGTTGGAGGCAATATCGAGGGCTATGCGACTGTTCGCAGGGCGGAGGGGATCTTGTTAAGGACACGCAAACGAGCGGACGGACAGCCAAGTCCTTGGGACAGGGTTCCACGTCGGGGTTGGAAAAAAGGAGTGGAGGAGGTGAGCCTGTCGACTGGGAACGAAAATGCAATATGCGGGGCCGGCAGCAGCTGAAGAGCCAAGGCCAACTCGACGCGTGAGAAGTAAGAGAAGGAGAAAGAGGCTTCCTGCAGACCGAAACCTTGGTGACGTGGTTTTGCACGAAGAAGAACAAAAGAGGCACCGGTTTGCAATCGCGCACGAACGAAGCGAAACTCAGTTTCCAGAGGACGGGCTGCTTTTGCGTGGTGGGTTGCCAGCAGTGGATTAGGCAGGCCGTCTGGGTCTGGTCTGCTGCTGGTCTGGGCGCGCGGGGGGTGGCGATGGAAGGGGTGAAGAGAGGGAGAGGCGGGAAGGGCGCTGGGCTCCAGAAGCGCGGCCGCGCGAGGCAATTAAAAAAAAAATCGCTTCTGCCCGCTGCCGGGGCCCCTGGCCTGGAAATTGGCACTTTGCATCGGCGGCGAATGCGTCTGCGGCGCACCGTGTGTGGGCGACATCTGCACCGTGCCGGGTGGTGGGCTATTGTCGACGCGCGTGCGCTGGGGATCGTCGGGGATTGTCCACACAGGGCTCGCACGTTGTACCAGCACAGTGCTGTCCCTGTCGCAGGCGCTTTCAGGGGCATGGGGGGGCAGCCCGCGATGGCGGGCAAGGGTTGGCACCTAGAGCGGGTCCTGTCCCCTTCCACTTCCAGGGTGGTTTGGGTCAATTGATGACGGAAGCAGGCACTGTAACCACGGCCCTGGCGAATCAATCCGCCCACGTTGGAGACACATCAACACGCCTCAGCGATAAGGGGGCGCCGGCGCTGGAATGGTCCCTGTCGCTACCGAGAGCAGCATCCCGTCGTGTCCAGCTGGTTGCGCAATCCGCCAACGAGAATTCGTTCTGGCATGGTCCCGCGGTGCGCGCGACTGGATTCGGCCACGGTCATGAAACCTGGTGGTCATGCTGCCCGCAGACCGTGAGAGCCGTTGCTGAGCAGACCGTCGAGCATCAAGCAACTCAACGGCGACTGGTGCCCATCTGACTCGATCTACCCGCCCCAAACCCACAGTTGCCACACTAGAGCATCTTGTGCCTGGATTTTTCTGTGGTGCTCTGTTCTATTTTCTGCAACACGTAGCGGTGTTGATGACATTCTCTACACTGGAGCCGATGCCCACAACGTGCTCTTGATGGTCTGGTGTCTGGCACCGGCACTGGGGATCAAAAGATTGTAGAGAGGCTGCATTGCATCTCACACTGCAGTGGCCGTGGTGAACCCTCATGAGACCCTGACATTCAAAGTCAAGACGACGACGAAACCTACACATAGTTGGGCAATGCGCCCTGCAAACACACGATCTCTATTCAACGGGCCATGGCCGTTCACTAACGTATCCAAATTGCTCGCAGAGCCCAGACGGTATCTGGAGGATGAATATGAAATGTCGTAGCTGAGCCAAGGTTACATTAGAGGCCAAAGGATCGATAGACTCTCGTAAGCTTCAAATATTATATGTAGCCACGTTGCTTAATCTGCAGGCAATACTTGACCGTCTAATGCTCGGCGTTGTCCGTAGAGTATCCTTGCTATGAACCAAGCAATGCGTACAAATTGAACGAGCACGTCGGGAATCAAAGATAGCATCGCTGCGGGTGGTGAATTCCTCTATACGGCACGACGGTGCTTTGGAAGCCGCTTACCTACCTTTGCCGCGTCTTTCCTGTGACAATTAAGAGCATGCTGCCGCTTCTTCTCGTGTACATCTCCTGCAGCTTTGCTGCACCCGCCCTCGCCGCCCTGGAGGCTAGCGGCGGTTCACTACAGGCCAGAGGTGAGACAGTACGTGCCCTGTCTCTTTGCCTTTTGCCTTGCGAGTAACTCCAAAAGTCGATGAGGTAGGCCGGTGCTGACTCTGTTCACAAGTATTTTACACAGATAGAGGACCTCGCCCATGACGTGGTCGAATACATCCCTTTCGTCGGCACGGTATATGCTATCCACCGTGGTGTCAAAGCCTTGGACGAGGGGGATACACGCAGGGTCTGGTCGTGTATTGCCGATGCCACGGAAAGCTCCATCCGCGATGTGGTGCTGATGGCAGACCTGGCTGATCCCATCACGGTCACTCTCGTGCATGACATGGCCGCGTCCTTTACCGAAGACATGATCAAAATATACCACTCTCCGCCGAAAACACCCGAGATTCGGATAAAGCACATTCTATCCAAAAACTATACATATGTCCTCGTCGCCGGGTCTCATGTCAACAAGAACGCAGCGCAATACTTTTCGAGCATGGCTAAAGGCATCCACTATTTCTGGGGGGCCGATTTTGTTGGCACTTTAAGGGAGAGCGAGTACGCCTGGCAAGGAGAGCAGATACGCCTGCAAGTTCCACGTGGATTTTATGACGGAGGGCCCATCATGATCTCGTGGAGATGGACCAAAGACGCAACAGGTGCATTCCACAGGCCGGAGGCATCGCACGGTCTGGTCAGGCTCACCAAAGGCCAGAGGCCGCGCTTTGATGTGACACACCGCAAGGGTGCTGGTGACTGGGAAGGTTACCAGTTCTGGGGATTCATCAATTCCTTGACTTCAATCACTCTGTTCGTCGCTATCGGGGAAGAGAGAGTCAAGGTTGAGCTGGCAAGGCTCGAGGGAACCTGATAAGTCTGCGGACGTCCCAAAAAAAAATGGTGGGCAAATCGATGAGCTGAGGAGGCGGTGGAAATGGCTATTTTCGATGCACTAAGATACACAGGTCTGCCTAGTAGGCCTTGTCGTTCATGTTCTGACCATGACATTGCGTCGCCTGCATCCCTGGTGTTGTGCTTGGCCTGTTGTTTATACGCCCATGACTCACCACCTGGGCCGACGCCGGGGCAGAGGCAGAGCTTAGAGCGGTGGCACTGGAACATCGTCCGTCAAACAACTCTTGTCGGAGACCTCTTCGGCCGGGATTTATTGCTATAGCTTGCTTGACTCATATAGGCTAGTTTTAAATGCATACAACGGCTCGCGAACCCTCGTGCCTTTGCTTTCCGATGCCACCAAGATCTCAAGAATACCTTCATCCACCCGCCACGCTTTGCTTGATGCCCCAACAGCCACAATCATGCGATTTAACAACAATTCGATCTCCCATCACACTAGCCATACCATGGGGAATGGCGCTAGCAGCAGCAGTGACAACGTGCATGGCGACGCGGCACACCCAATCGGCCATCATACGAGCCATACTATGGAGAATGGCGCCAGCAGCGGCGGCGGCGGTAGCGGCGGCGATGAGGGAGCTCAAGAGGATGGCACAATCTCCAATGACAATGGTAAGAGGTCGCTCTTTTGCGTCAATGCCTGGGGCGCATGGGAAGCTTACTCTTATTCATGCAGGACTCCATGCGGCACTTGTCTCGGAAGCCACCCTAACGACCCCTACTTCGGCAAGCTTTTTCGAAAACAGAGACACCTTCGGAGAGTCAGGAGACTTTACATCATCCAGCAACGTGGGCAACTTCAGCATCATCGACAGCACGCTGCGCGAGGGCGAGCAGTTCGCTACGGCGTACTTCAGCACGGCCCAGAAGATCAAGATCGCCCAAGCGCTGGATGACTTTGGAGTGGAATACGTACGACTTGCATCTTTAGCAGGGAGCACGGATAATGTCTGGCTGACAATTCGCGGTATAGATTGAAGTGACGTCTCCTGCGGCCTCGGAGCAGTCGAGGGCGGATTGTGAAACCATCTGCAAGCTGGGGTTGAAGGCAAAGGTGGGTACATTCAGCCCAGCCGACCTCTGACTACGCATCATCAACTAAGGATGACCCCGTCAGATCCTTTGCCACATACGATGTGATATAAACGATGCCAGGATTGCCGTCGAGACTGGAGTCGATGGAATGTGTGTGCCATCTTGAACATCCACCTGCCATGTCATTATTCGGCTAACGGAGGTTGATGTTGGTAGAAACATGTGCATTGGTACATCATCCCAGCTCATGAAGCACTCTCACGGCAAGGACTTGACCCACATCTCCACCAAGGCAAAGGAGGTCATTGAGTTTGTCAACGCACATGGCATCGAGGTTCGCTTCTCCGGGGAAGACTCCTTCCGCTCGAACTTCGACGACCTCCTGAACCTCTACTCCCTTGTCGACCGTCTCGGTGTCCGGCGCGTGGGTATCGCCGACACCGTGGGAGTTGCCTCGTCCCGTGACGTCTTCAACAAGATTAGCGCCCTGCGCAGAGTTGTTGGCTGTGACATCGAGACGCACTTCCACAACGACACGGGTTGCGCAGTGGCCAACGCCTACACCGCCCTGGAGGCTGGGGCAACCCACATCGACACGACGGTGCTCGGCATCGGCGAGCGGAACGGCATCACGTCTCTCGGCGGCCTGGTCGCTTCTTTGCTTCCTACGGAGCGCAAGTATGTCTTGAGCAAGTATAAGGTTGAGACGTTGAGCTACCTCGACAGCCTCGTCGCCCAGATTGTTGGAGTGGAAGTTCCTTTCAACAACTTTGCAGTATCCCACTTGTGAGCTCATTCGCCGGACGTAGACTTGGGCTCCCAGGCCGGGACCATTTGTCGATAAGGGGGCTGGCGGAAAGGGGCGAGGCTTGGTCTCCGCGTACCTAGATATGAAAGGTACTGCATCCCTGGTTCCTGTCTACCTACTACCTTCGTTTCTTCCTCCGAGTATACTACGAGAGGCACACGCTCTTACATGCGTTGGAATTTTGAGAGGTTCGTTTGCGGTTGCTTGGGCAAGTGTCTGCGTCAAATGTAGAGCCCCAGTGAGACATGGATCCAGCCAGGGGTCACCCGTCCGGTTCTACGTGCCAAGCATTCCCCGCTGGCGCATTCCATTGAGCTTCGCGGCGGGCGGCGCATGGCTAGACGAAGCTTGGCACCGAGCGGCCACACCACGATCTCCCTTCTCCAGCCCTTCTGGCGCGGCAGCAGCCGGTATTCCGCTCCCTGTATGCTTGTCCCGGTGGCTCAAGGCTGATAAGTAACGAGGCTTCCAAGGCTGGGTGGCAGTTGTGCTGAGAGAGGCGAGCATGAGCAGGTGTTGGTGATCAGCAGCTGATCGCCCAGGCATATGCAGTGGTAAGTAGCCGCCTTGAGCCGCACAGTGTAAACGGGGCCGTGGGAGGCTTCGTCCGTATCTCGCTTGCCCGCGTTCATTCAACTGGGTTCGTGGAGAAGAAAAGGACAAGGTAGGTCGATCGTCCCGCCCGTCGGTCAGCGTCCGCTCGCACCATTTGGTCCTTTTGTTTCGCCTTGTCTTGGACATTCACGAAACAACGCCTGACTGCTGGCATGTCGGGGGACCAACGTGCCGGGAGCATCGCCCCTCGTTCGACACACTGCCCATTTCCAGGGCATTGGATCAAAGGACAGAGCTGCACTGTACGGAGTACTCCGTACGAGTCTCGAGTAATTCAATGATTCTGTGCTTCCCTACTCGCAGCAGGAGGCCCAGAAAAATTCCTTGCAGCACAGAAAAAACGGCTCACAACGTGCCGTTCATCTCCCCCCCGTCTCCATCCATCCAGCCATCTGCCTTATCTCTACGGCTCTCCACGTCGAGAGATTTCTCCTGTTTAGGCGACAGCTCCAGATTGATGGCGGCCCACACCCTGGGGCCCCCCTGACTCTGGATCCCTACAAGCCCAGGGCCAATCGCCGCACTGTGCACCTGCGCCGTGGGCATCCGTCTCTCTGCCGCACACTCTGTGACCGGGTGAGGCGAGTCGATCTTGATCTGCCCTTGTTTCAGGATGAGAGCCGTTGCGCCAGCATTCTCTGTCGGCTGGCTGCGCCGGCTAGGCTGGTTCGAGGTGATGCGGCAATTGATCGCCAGCCCGAGTGACGTCGGGCTCCAGCGAGGTGACGACGCTTCAAAATCTTTCGCAGCTGCCCCTATTCTGCAGGACTTGTGCGAGGACAAGATGTCATTCAACTCGCGAGTTCAGACCCACGGTTACCGCGATCTGCAGCGTGAAGCGGTTGGCCAAAAGGAGCGTACGACAAGCCTCAGCCAACAGGGGGCAATTAAGTTGGATGGTTTCGGCATACTACTCTTCTCCGTAATTCTGGCCAGCATGTCAGGCAGGTCCTTTGGGAGGAAACAGGCGACCGGCAGGAAGCAGCGCTCGTTTGAGAGAGCCGAGAAGATGTCAAAGTTTGCGGCGTACAGGGCGACGGGCGGGAGCCCCTTACGTCGCCTTGATGCTCCCTGACCAAGGGACACATAGTCTGTACGAGTTCAAGTATTACTTGTAAAGTGGCAACCTGCCTGATAAGGAACGACAACCGGCAGGCGAAGACGGACGTGCCACCAATTACAACATGCGTCGTCCGGATCTGCACCGGCCCACGAAGCGGCGGCGGCGGTTGGGCGATGCCGAAAGAAGCACGGTGACTTGCGAATATTCAGCAGATAATGTCGCAACAAGGCGTCCCGCCCCGCGGACGATGCCCGCCAGCACCTCGTGGCACGGGTTTTATTCGACAACGGGAGCGCCCAGGGCGGGAGCTGAAGATGGCCTTTCATCTTACGGCGAAATTGCGAGGCATGGGGTGGTGGATGCCGTGCTGGGTACCCTAGCAGTTTGGTTGTGGCGTCTTGACGGAGATGACAGCCCAGCGGGCCTTGGAGGGAATGTCATCATCCGAGCCCTGGCGTCACGGCGACGGCTACGTACGTGCGTACCTGCGTCCGGAGTTGTGAGAAGACTGGACGTCCAAGACCTGGGGCAGAGGAAACCGTCAGGTACGGCGCGGCGGCCAGCATGGAGTGCGTAGCGTCGACCCCGCGACCGGCAGGGCCATTGTCTGGGAGAACGGCACGCCCGCCGAGAGCGTGCGAGACGGCGGCGTGCGGCGACGGCATGCTGCGGGCGTTCACCATCCAACAGCCCCCGACCCGGACCCGGAGATGGAATCCCCCTTCCTTCGCAGAGCAGGAACGCGCTAACAATGCTAAGCTTCTCGCCATGCAAGACCCATGGCACAGTGCCCGCGTGTCTCAGGCACTCCGTGCGCGGTGGATGATGATGGATGATGCACAGACAAGGGACGTTTCGCGCTGGCTGGGAGCGGCCCAGGGAGGCGAAGCCATGCACGCCCCCGGCAGCCGGACTAGACGACACCGACACCAGGGGGCAGGGCAAGGCATGTTACGGGACAGTGAGCGCAGTACTGTATCACTTGGTGCTGCCCAAATAGATTGACGGGTTCAGGCTAGCAGGCTTAGCCGTGTGGCCGCGCGCCGTGGAGGTGGCAGAGTGGCAGAGTGGCAGATTGAGTTGGGTTGGTGGTGGCAGTGGAGCCCCTCGCCTCCTCCTCGTACTTCAGACGGAGGGAGGGGGAGAGGCTGCACGCGGGCCTGGCGTGGCACGTTGGCTGGTTGGCCCGCTATCTTGGGGCCTGGAGATGCCCGTGTCCAGTGGTGTCGAGTGGATTGGGTTGGATGGAACCAGGCTTTGGGTGCCGCCAGGCCAGGGGGCCGGCCGGGCCCACAATAAATTTAGTTGGGCCTGCCCGTGCCCCTCCATGGATGGATGGTCGGATGGAAGGGTGCGTGGATGCAGCGTCTCCTTTTTTCTGCCCGCCAACCCGCCGTCAACCAGGGACCCGACCCAAAACAACTTCGCCATATCAACAGCAAACTTGGCAATTGCTTCACTCTCATCTGCTCCCGCTCACTCGCTCGCTCGCTCGCTCGCTCGCCGTCGTCCCTTCACGCGCGCGCGCATCTCGCAAACTTGCTTCCACGCACGCCCACGACGTCGAGGCTCCCCGTCCTCCTCCTCCCCCTCAATCTACCCCAACTCCTCACACCGACATTCTCTCCCCCCCGCCACCATGGGCGCCGACATGTGAGCAGCGCGCCGCCCCCTCTGCCTCCGCCCGCGCGTGGGCGCAGAAAGCCATGACCAAGTGCACCGACTGACGCTTTGATCCTCCAGTAACGTTGATGTCCTCGTCATTGGCATGGGACCTACGGGTCTCGGTGCCGCCAAGCGCCTGAACCACATCGTGCGTTGCCCCTCGACTCCGTCGTCCCGCCTCGCCTCGTGGCCCGTCGCTAACAATTGCTCGACAGGACGGCCCGTCGTGGTTGATTGTCGACTCTGCCGACAAGGCTGGCGGTCTTGCCAGCACCGACGTCACTCCCGAGGGCTTCGTAAGTCTCCCTTTGGCTCTCCTCCGGCGCGAATTGGCCGCCGCTGACATTGCCGCGCTCTAGCTGTACGACGTCGGCGGTCACGTCATCTTCTCCCACTACAAGTACTTCGACGACTGCCTCGACGAGGCTCTGCCCCAGGATGACGACTGGTTCACCCACCAGCGCATCTCCTACGTCCGCTACAAGGGCCTCTGGGTCCCCTACCCCTTCCAGAACAACATCTCCATGCTGCCCAAGGATGACCAGGTCAAGTGCATTGACGGCCTCATTGACTCGGCGCTGGAGTGCCGCGTCGCCAACACCAAGCCCAAGAACTTCGACGAGTGGATCTTGAGAATGACGGGCCAGGGTGTCGCTGACATCTTCATGCGCCCCTACAACTACAAGGTCTGGGCCGTCCCCACCACCAAGGTACGTTGGGCCAACCCCGCCATTCTACTGTGGCTGCGTCTTCAGCGATGCTCACCCCGTCATAGATGCAATGCCAGTGGCTCGGTGAGCGTGTCGCCGCTCCCGATATCAAGACGGTCACCAAGAACGTCATCCTGAACAAGGTTGCCGGCAACTGGGGCCCCAACGCCACTTTCCGATTCCCTGCCCGCGACGGCACTGGCGGTATCTGGATCGCCGTCGCCGACACTCTGCCCAAGGAGAAGAAGCGCTTCGGCAAGCAAGGCGAAGTCACCAAGGTCGATGCTGAGAAGAAGATTGTCCACTTCGCTGATGGCTCCACCATTGGCTACGGCAAGCTCATCAACACCATGTCTGTCGACCACCTCGTCGAGAAGATGGGCAACCAGGAGCTCGTCAAGCTCTCCAAGGGCCTCTTCTACTCCACGACCCACGTCATTGGCGTTGGTATCCGTGGCGAGCGCCCCGAGCGCATCGGCGACAAGTGCTGGGTGAGTTGCACCGCCCATGAGACTGACTGTAGACGTACAAGAGCTAACACCGAGACAGCTGTACTTCCCCGAGGACAACTGCCCCTTCTACCGCGCCACCATCTTCTCCAACTACTCCCCCTACAACCAGCCCGAGGCCGGCGTCAAGCTGCCGACGCTGTACCACGCCGACGGCTCCAAGGGCTCGTCTGAGGCCAAGGAGGGCCCGTACTGGTCCATCATGCTGGAGGTCTCGCAGTCGTCGATGAAGCCCGTCGACGAGGAGAACCTGCTCAAGGACTGCATCCAGGGTCTGATCAACACGGAGATGATCAAGCCCGAGGATGAGATTGTGTCCACCTACCACCGCCGCTTCGACCACGGCTACCCCACGCCGTCGCTGGAGCGTGAGGGCGTGCTCAAGGAGCTGCTGCCCAAGCTGCAGGACATGGACATCCTGTCGCGTGGCCGCTTCGGCAGCTGGCGCTATGAGGTCGGCAACCAGGACCACTCCTTCATGCTGGGTGTCGAGGCCGTCGACCACGTGCACAGCGGCGCCGTCGAGCTGACGCTCAACTACCCCGACTTCGTCAACTCTCGACAGAACACCGAGAGGCGGCTGACGCAGAGCTTCGGCGCGTCCAAGGCCAACGGCAAGGCCGAGCTGCCCTCGCGGGAGCGCGCGTCGTCCAAGGCTACGGCCAACGGCGGCCACAGCCGCAAGTCCTCCAAGCAGGTCAAATAAGCGCCAGACCAGTTGGGAGGCACAAGCGCAACGATTTAAAGGGAGCCAGCAATCTACGGTTGGACAATAATCTGAGTCACGAGCATGACGGGACAGGATGGCCTGGGGAAAGGCGTGCCGTACTACCAGGCACACGGCACGGGGCAAGGGCAGGCAAGGGTTAAAATTCATTGTCGGCGGGTATGGCGTGCTCGCTCGCGACACGCGCGGCGACTGGTGCAGTATAGAATTGTTCTCTGTCTCCCATTATCAACGGGTAGAAGGGAGGTTCGCGATAGAGAATAGAGCTGGGCCTCTTGTCACATGTGTAGGCCTGCATATCTGGAATATTTGGCCAGATACGAAGGAGTGGACGACGCCGCATCGGATCTCAATGTGGCAGGCGCTCAGCCGTGCACCCCGCGCTACGGGCGACCATAGGGACATTTGTCTCAAAACGCAAAAAAACAGTTTTTGGTTTACTAGTGCAACCCCATAGAGGGCGTACAAAAATCAATATTGAGGTAACTATAGTAGAGAGATAAAATGCCCCATATTAACATCAATTATCGTAGTTATTGCAGCTATCGTAGCTAGCCAGCCAGCCAGCCCGAGCATGTAATTGAGGTCATCGCGGCCAGCCCGGTGCAGCAGGCAATTGAAGCCATCGCGGCCAGCCAGCCGGGCTGCCAGCTAGCCTGCCAGCCAGCCGGCCAGCAAGCCGTAGCAGGCATCTAAGGTCATCGCGGCCAGCCGGCTGCAGCAGGCAATTGAGGCCATCGCGGCTAGCCGGCTGCAGCAGGCAATTGAGGCCATCGCGGCCAGCTAGCCGGCCAGCCAGCCGTAGCAGGCATCTAAGGTCATCGCGGCCAGCCGGCTGCAGCAGGCAATTGAGGCCATCGCGGCCAGCCAGCCAGCCAGCCAGCCAGCCAGCCGTAGCAGGCATCTAAGGTCATCGCGGCCAGCCGGCTGCAGCAGGCAATTGAGGCCATCGCGGCCAGCCAGCCAGCCAGCCAGCCGTAGCAGGCATCTAAGGTCATCGCGGC